GATCTTCAGGAAGACTTGGAATCTACTTAAAATGCTTCAAAGACTTAGCCAATTGTGTATTTGCCTCTGACAAAGTCATATGGGATGACTAGGAAGTCCTTAGCAGTGCTTCATCTTAAGTAGACTCAGCCAGGGTCATGGCTTATGCTATGGTAGTCAGGAGGGGAGGTATTTCTGGCATTTGTGTATTCTTTTGACTAGGGCAAGCATGGGTTCAGTAACCGGCTTAAAAAAATAGGCTTTATGTGTGTACTTGTGGTGGTTGGGGGTAAACTTTAAATAGTTGTAGACAGTGGTAGGATATCATGTTGTCTCACGACTCGGAACCATTTCTTAGGATGGGAAGGAAAGATATTTATAGCCTTTGTCAGTCATCGCATCCATCTTAGGGGAACTGTTCAAAATGAGAAGTAGCTGGGTGAGGTCTTCAATTTTTTTCTGACTTCCGAGGCTGGGAGTAGCTGGTAACAGCTGCTTATTATTATTATTATTATTATTATTATTATTATTATTATTATTATTATTTTGGTAATAGCTGAGACACACTGCAATCCCTTTAACCCAGTCTGTACTGTTTTGGCAAAGATTGGGAAAAGGTCATTGCAAATAGGAATAGCTAAAAATAATTTTTGAGAGTGTGATTGGTGGAGTCCTTTCATTTTACAGGTGGGCAAAGTGAGACCTAGAAGGGTCATAGAGTCTTCTCAAGGTCATGATACTGTAGTTAAATTCCAGATCCCAGGTTTGCTGTGGCAGAGGTCATACTGTCTAAAGCACACTAAATATCCTGCAGAGGAGCCTTGAGATGGGCAGACAGGAGACGTTAACATCCATCTTAAAAATCATTTTGGCTTCTGCCAGCTGATGAAGGAAATATAGTTAATGACACCCACATCATTGTGATGCTGTTGTAGGCTCTGTACACAGGCTGCCCGGAAGTGAGCACTGCAGACCCTCTGATGCAGGAGAAAAGGGTTCTTTCTGCAGGAATGGCATGTGTCCCTGCAGAGTGCCTGGTTTTGAATGGGACACATGATCACGTAATTAGTTAATACCCGGTGAAGGGATGAAGGCAGGGGAGCCACTAAGGCTGGTTCATCCAGAGCCTTTGTGAAAATAGGGTCCTGTCTTTGTAAATGGGTTGCTCAGAGGCTGAAGGGAACTTATAAGAGTTGGAGTTAGCCATCTCAGTTGAAACTAGAGTAGCTACACAGAAAAACCCTGTTATGGTGGTGCTGCAGGAGAACAGAGTTGACTCTGGAAGTCAGAACCTGTGGACCATAGGTGTTCTGCTCTCTCCATTGCCCCACATAGCTGTGGCCTTTCACAAGGCCATCTCAAAGATAAATTTCCCATGTGTCCCCAGTAGGTCATTTCCAGTTTTATAAATATGCAGAAGTTATAAGCAGATTTATAATTTCATTTTTTGGCTTTGGGTCCTTGTCCAAATGGCCCCTTGGGAATAAAAACATGACATTTCTTTCCCATCTTTTCTAAGCCTCTGGAGGACATTTTGTTTGACTCTGAGGCAGAGTTGCCCCACGGGTTTTATTCTTTAGGAAAAAGTCCTTAGGCCATTTCAGAAACTTCTAGATGTATTCTGCAGTGCCTCAAAATTCAGTGGTTAGGACTCAGGCAGCACATAGCTGTTACTAGGGAGAAAGACCAAGGGCCTGTCTGCCCTTCTTGGTAAGCTTAGGAAACTTTCCTGTCTCAGGAAAACACTAATTTATCTGTCCACAATGATAGAGATAACAAACATTATTAAACATGGTATTTACCATCTTCTTTCTTGTCCTAGAATTGATAGAAACATTTGCATTTTAAAGTTGTAATCAGCTTTCTTAGCAAGTGATTGACACACATGATCTAAAACCTTAACACAAGCCTTCTTCTACTGGGATGGGGAATGAAAGAGGTACATAAGGAAAAGGTGGTTATCTTTTGGAAAAACCACTTGGTTCATGTCTCTATATTTATTATTTATTTCCTGCTAAAGTACAAGCTAGATCCCTTTCTGTTTCAATGGGATGTGCTGTGTATTCTACTAGGAACTGTTTCCTCAGGCAAACTCAACTTTTTCATTATTATGATTAGTGCCTGAAAGCAGCTGATTAAAAATTTGGTTATTTTTATTGTCACTCAAAACTTGGGCAATTCTGTCCCTTCTTCCTGTACTTTGGGTTATTTTGCAGTGTTTGGAGACATTTTGGTTTGTCACTATCAAGGAGAAAAGATGCTACTGGCACCAGACAGGCTGCTACAATGCACAGGGCAGACGTCATGACAAAGAATAACAAATATCGAATTATAAAGATCAAAATGCCAATAGTGCAGAGGCTGAGAAGCATCCTTATAGATCATGTCTGTCTGAGTTATTGAGAAGGCAAGAACTGTTCGGGTCGTACTAGTCCCATCCTTGCTAGCCTCTGTAAGGACTCGGAGGGCTCAAAGCCATGTCCCCTTTAGTTTAAAGGAGAGCTGAAAGAAATTCATTTCCAATATTAAATAAATAACGAAAAAATGAATATTAGTCTTAGCCCAAGTGGATATAAGGCTCCAGCCTCCAAGTGATGCAAAATTTATGTTATTGGATAGCAGGATGTAATATTAAATTTAAAAATGTCAGGCTGCTTAACATGAGAGCAGAACTTCAGCCAAATAGGTTCCCTGTATTTGTGGGGACATAGGTGGTGGGTACTGCATTGCTGCTGGTCTCCTAGGACACCAGTCTGCCTTTCCCATGCCTCCATTTACTCCCCGAATTGGTAGCATGTGAGGCTCCAGTACAGCTCACTTCAGTTGTTTTTGTTTGTTTTGTTGTTGATGTTGCTGTTTTGCTGGTTGCACACAGATTCAATGCAGCAGCACCTTGTATTTTCAGTAATTTGAAACAGGGGAGCAGCAGGCCTTACTTAACCTAAGAAGGGCCTGGGCCCCTTGGAATATACATTGGCTCATCCAGCCCTCAGCCTGTCCTTTGGTGAGAAGGGCTGGTTATTCTCCTATAACCTGCAAGGGAGCTGCTGGCCTCTGTTTACCCTAGATTTTAAGGCTGTTATATGTCTTACCTAAAATTTGAAAGATGAAAGTATTAAAGATGCAAATATCATTTGAGCAAGGACAACTTGTTTGGCTAGCCCTCTTATGACCCCCTGGCTTCATCCATCCGGGGAAATTACAAAGGGTGTGAAAGTTAACCCCTGAAACAAAGCATGCATCCTCCGGCTTTGATAGTGTCGCAGCACCAGCATGATCCAGATCTCTCTCGTCATGCCTCACAAACACAGCAAGTTCTCAATCATGTCTATTGCTGCTCACATGTGCCTTCACCCATAGAGGGGAAGGAAAACACAATGAGACTCTCTGATGGGCCACCACCATCTCACTTGCGGAATCAACACAGCGGAGTCTTACCCTTATCTAAGCGATTATAATGCAGACTTTTTAGATGGATTATCCCTTTTATTAAAGCTCATGTCTGGGAGAGGAAAATCAAGGGATGAGTCAAGAAAAAAAGGAGTAGGGTGGGTAGAGTGATGAGACACTTTCTGCCTCCCCCTATGAAGTAGGTAAATCTCACAAGGCCCTGGAATGTTGAACTTAAGAAAATACTTGGCTATTTGCATTCTAAGCTGTGACTGGGACAGTGCCATGATAAAGAATTATTTTAAGAGGACATTAAAAGCCTTAGCAGTGGGTAACCCTGGGAAGGCAGGGGGTTTCTTTCCTTCATCATCTTGAGGGAGAAAACACAAAGAGAAGCTCAAATTCAGAAACTGGCACTTGGGAGAGGAGGCCTCATCCATATCACCAACCAATGAATTAGTCAAACCAACAACTCTTTGAGGTGTAATGAAATCACAAGTACCTGCTGTTTTACCATCAGAGAGGATCTTATTTGGTGGTCATATGGTTTTTTCTTTCTTTCTTTCTTTTTTTTAGAACAATCTGAGTGGGTTTTTTTTTTTCTTAAATGCCTATTAACTCACTAGAGTGGTAAAACATGAGAAGCAGACACGCCAGAACGAGGAAGATTAACGATCTCTGCAGAGCTGGGAAGAATATTTTTCAATTCATATAGGTGGAATTTATCATTACCACCTCTGAAGATGGCATGATTTGCCCACTTACAAAAGGCCTATTTGTTTCAATACTTTCTAAAGATATGATTTTTCACTTTTCAATTGGACTAACGCACGAATGCTAAGCCTGTAAGCAGAGAATTAGGAGTCAATGGGTGGGTGTAGGGAGCCTAGCTACAGCAGCTGAGATAGGAATTCATTCATAAGAACTTCCCTTTGGAGTAGGGGAGGGTCTGTTGTAACAGAGTTTGTAAAGAAGTGTATCAGGGAGGATGGAGTCAAAGTTTTAAAAGGAAAATATTTCTCAGTGTCTATTTGTAAGTAGGTCTGATCGGTACTTAAGTTCAGGCTTTGCAAGCTGAGGTCATAACTGCATTATCCCCTAGCTCCAAGCCACAGGAACCCTGACACCTTCCTCCCCCAAAAAAACAAAAAAAGGGAGACAGAATGCTCTGTTTTGTGCCTAACCAGTTCAACTGCAACCTTCCGCGTCACCGCTAGTTGTCACTTCGCTCCCAGACGGGAGACCCGGGGTTTCCAGCACTGCGGTTTGAGAGAATGCGGTCCCAATTAAACTAAAAAACTCGTAAAGCTTCCCCTTAAGTCCTCAGCCGAGTGAAGGGTAACCAGCAGAAGGGCCAGGGGTCAGTATGGGAGGAGTAGTGTAGCAGTCAGACAGATAGACAAACCGCAAGAAACAGGCAAACCACTGCCTGAGTAGCCACTGTCTGGGACCTACACGCACCAGCCAGACACCCTGCGGGTGAAGGTGGGGGGAGGAGGGGAATGAAAGGGCCTTCAGTACACAGCACCCCTCCCCAATTGATGAGACCTCGGTAGAGTCAGCCTCTTTACTCCATCTGAACCCCATTTGCTCCTTAAGGATAGTCGTTGTCAGTATAGAAAATCGCGTACCTGAAGAATACAATGGTCTCCCAAAGGTAGAATCGCAGAGTGTTGAAGCTGTACATTTTCCAGATTCTTGTGCTGTAAAGTCCACGAGTTATAGGGGTGCAAAAATGTTTCCGATGGGCACCTATGAAGCCAGAGAGCGCCTCTGGGGAAAATAATCCAGATGTTTGAGGGAGCTGGGGAGTAGAGGGACGAGGCGGCAGATAATTGCAGCCAGGAGGCTTGGGTACCGAGGAAAGCGGCGGTCGTGCAGGTTCAGCACCACGGAGAGCGTCCAGCCAGGCTGCGGGCGGGAAGAGCGCTGCTGATGCTCAACTCGCTGGAGGCTCCCTGCGGCGCTGGGAGGCACTCTTGGGGGTGGGTATATTTTCTTCTTTTTCTTTTCTTTCTTTCTCTCCTTTTTTAATCCTTGTTTTTATGTTGAGAGGCCAGCTTCAAGCAATCAAGAAATCCGTGGGGATTAGAGCCCTGGCCTCGGACCCTTAGACCTGGCTGGCACCTTCTTTCTGGCCCTGGGCTGGCCCGTGGGGTTTTAGGGGTTGTGTGTTTGTGTGTGTGTGTGGGGGTGGGGTGGGGTGGTGGTGGTGGAGCAGGTGATGGTGCTGGCTTCAGTTAGATGTCGGAGAGTGTGCCAGGCTGGCGCATCGCAACCCAGTCCCGGAATCTCGTTCTCCTGCCTCCGTTTCAGTCTGCTGTCGCCTTGCGGTCCGCGTTCTCTGGTCCCCGCCGAATAAGTTGGGATTGCTGCAGGAAAGGTGTCCCATTGCTTGGGGCTGCAGTCGCAATAGAGCCCACCACAACTTTCAGGGGCTGCTGGGGTCCATGGTTTCCCAGCAGGGCTCAGGAGCCCAGGCTTTCAGAGGCAAGTCGGGTTTCTGAGCTCGCCCATCTTCTGGCTAGACTCACTCAGATCGTGAGACTTTCTTACTGCATTAATTTAACAAACTGGCGGCATAGAGGATGGAGGGGGGGCGGTAAGGGCCAACGGGAGGGGGTGGAGAGGGGAAAATGGGGGGAAAAACTCCTTAGAAGCTTCAAACCCTCCCACTCGAGGTATTCATTGGCCCACGGCTGCAAAAACCATATCTTCTCTTCAGGTTCGGCCAATTGTGTGTTAGGCTCTGGGTTGAGTTTAACCCTCAAAGTGCTGGCAGAGACCAGCTTCCTGCACTTCCCAGGCCCCAGTGTCTGTGCAGGTCTTCTGTTGTTCCAGAGAGGTTATAGATTTCACCTTTTGAAGTCTTTTAAAATCTTAACCTTGATTTTTTTTTTTAAAAGAAAATAGTTGTATGTAAGTGAAACACCATGAATTCCAGTCCAGATGTGCTTGGGGGACTCAGTTTATCATTTTAAAAGGGTCACTAGAACCAGATCCCTCAAATTCTTTAAAGTGCTGAAGCTGTACTATTTGGGCTCAGAAGACTTAGAAAAAAGCCTGGTGGACAGAGTAAGTCTCCTTTCAGGGACCCTGTGGTAGGGAAATTCAGGAAAATCAAATAACAAACAAACAACTAACTTAATGTTTAGGGCCAAAGGGGAGCTGATCTGCCTGGTTCACTTTTGAGAGAGACAGAAGATATACTCCCCCATCCGAACAGAGGAAGTTTGAGTCACATCATACATCTGGGAAAACTGGGCTGCAAATGAATGGCAGAGAAGGAGTGCACACATATATCTTGTTCCTATGGTGCTTCTCCCCCCTCGCCCCTTTTTCTTTCACCTGCCTTCCTCTGTTTCTCTACCTTATCTGACTCTCAGAAATGAGATATCTATTTCACTGTTGAGCCCATCTGGGGAGGTAGAGTTAATCAGATTTTCTCCCAGCCAGGGGACTTTAGTGGATTAATAGCCTCTGCAGGATTTTCTGGCCTGCTGGAACTGACTGGGACTCTGGGGGCTCTCCCTTCCCATGCTGCTAAAAGACAAGCCTTCCACTTACCCAGCATATTCAGGAAGTCCTTTCTTGGGGCAATAGTTCTACATCTCTGTTCTCTGCAAGTTTAGGTCTTTTCCAAGCAAGGCTTCCCTTCCCCGCTCAGGACCAGACCAGCAGACCTCCCCCTCTCCTGTGCTGCAGAAACATGTCTCAGACAGACTTTTATGGCTTCCCTACACCAGGCTCCCAAAATGTTTTTCAGTACTGACTGAAAAGGAGATTTGCTATCCACAGTAGGTGCTCACCAATCTGATACAAATGTCCACATAGATGCACCATATTGAATACATGCATGTGAATACGTAGCATATGTAATCAAAAGCACATCAGCAGACATCCCACATGGCCTCACTGCTCTCCAGTCACACCTTAAAGTAAACATAGTTGTCTTTGCTCACATGTTTGTGTGCATATATGTGTGTGCTCTTGAAAGTGAACTTCCTCTCTCTCTTGATCTCCCCTTCTCTCTTGTCAGACAGTCTCATTATGTTGTTCTGATTGGCATAGCACTGGAACTAGCTCTGTAGACCAGGCTGGCCTCAAACTCACAGAGATCTACCTGTTTCTGCCTCCTGAGTACTATGACCAAAAACTTGCACCACCATGCCTGGCTTAATAAGTGCTGTACTCCTGTGTGTATCATTTTTGATCTTTGTCTTGCATTAATCCTGAAGTGAACCTGAAGTGTTTATTTGTATTTGTATATTTCTGTTTGCAATTAGTTTCTGTCCACATAGACATATATGTTGATATCTTCTTGTACATGTGTATGTGTACACATATGAATCAACACGTGTCAGTGTGGTGCCCCAGATACATTAATCAATTAACAAGTCAGCAGCTATATCCTAACCTCATCTGGCTAGGAAACACTTGCACAGTTAGACATGAAAACAATATCTAGCACTTTCTTTTACTCCTTCCACAACAGAAGTATGTGTGTGTATGTGTGTTGCTACTTCTGGTGAGTGTGACTTTTCCAAGCTTATGGTAAGAGAAGAGAATGACTACGTCACAATAGAGAAGCAGTGTGTTTGTGTGAGGGTGACACTTTCATTCATTCAGTCCACACACATGAACCGAGTATGTCCCAAGCATGGGATAAAGGTGGTCTGAACTCTTGGGATACACAGCTGCTTCAGAGACCAGTGACAAAAGCCAGATAGCTAAGACTATTTCACCCTTGGACATATACCCAGAAAATTTTATTCCCTGTCACAGAGATATGTGCACCCTTGTGTTTATTGCTGCTCTATTCACTATAGTCAAGAATTGGAATCAACCTAGATGGCCATCAACAGATGAATGGATAATGAAAATTATATCTATCTCGAAAGTTGCTCACTGACCACTATGTGTGAACTATACCATGTGCACACTCACACACACATACCTCCCTCTACACAAATAAATGAATAGAAATGTATTACACTTTTAAAAGAAGAAGAAGAGGAAGAAGAAATTTAAGGGGTATATAGTAACATGGAGATATGCTTTTATATGGGGCAGCCAGATCAGGGGATGTTCTGAAAGCTGACATGTGAACAGCTGTCAAAAGAAGTGGGGACTGAGACAGAGGAGAGCTTTCCAGGTGAGGATAAAAGCTGGACCAGTGTGCCTGGGGGTGGGGAGAGGTAGAGAGGCAGAGAGACTTTGGGGTTGGACTACTTCCAGTCCCTGGGGCTTAGTATTACCTCCAGGATGAGAACTGTTAGTTTTACTCAATTGAGAGAGAGAGAGCGAGAGAGACAGACAGACAGACAGACAGAGACAGAGAGAGGCAGAGAGAGGCAGAGAGAGACAGAGACAGAGAGAGCTTGAATGCATGTGTTTGCATTTATTTTTGTGTGTATGTATGTGATGTATTTGTGTGTGTCTATGTAAAACAAAGTAGGAGAAACTCATCAGGAACCGCTGAAAATATTCTTAGTCACTAGCCTTTTGTTCAAGTGTTTATATACAGAAGGGAAAAATTAATCTGGAGAGATTAATCAACTTCCCCTTAGACCAGTAGCAGTTGTCAGAAGAACACAGAGATCTTCATTATAGCTAAAATGTCTTTCCATTGCTTTTGCTTCTACTAAGAGGAAGGACATAATAGAAAAAAGGATCTAGAAGGAAAGGGATTCTACCTGGATTATTAATGATATACAGAAAATGCTATGTATTTAGAAAATGCTCTTAATACTCTTACCATAGCAGACAGATTAGTTAGCCTGGCTTATGTTAAGCACGTGCAAAACTTTTACATTTGCCTACAGTTAGGCTACATCATTAAGCACAATGCTCATTTGATTGTAGCCTGTGTATATATATATATATATACACACACACACAGGGTGCTCAGCAAATACTTCTTGCAGGAATGAGTGAATAAATAATTGAAAGCAAAATAAAAAAGTTTCAGGCAGAGGACTTGAAGAGAAGGGAAACAAGAGTGTTAATCAGGTGAGACCATCACATGACACTTGATATTAACGGGGGGGGGGGTGTAGGTGTGTGTGTGTGTAGGGGTGAAGAGTGGCTGGCTATTTTCACACTGCTCTGAAAGGCATTAATTATGCTCTATTAATTAAAAATGAAACAAAATAGGGCCTAGGAAGGTGATCTGGAGATTAAGAGTGCTTGCTGCTCTTATAGAGGACCTGAGTTCAGGTCTCAACACCCACATTCAGGGGATTGTAACCACCTGTAACTCTAGGTCTAGAGGATCTGCTACCCTGTTTTGGCCTCTGAGGGCACCCGCATGAGCACATACACACAAGTGGGCACACACATCTATGCAATTATATACACATAAATCAGTATGGTGATGGATGACTTTATTTATTTATTTATTTATTTATTTATTTATTTATTTATTTATTTATCCAGTCAGGGTTTCTCTGTGTAGCCTTGTAGACCAGGCTGGCCCCAAACTCATGCAGATCTGCCTGCCTCTGCCTCCTAAATGTTGGGACTAAAGTCCTGTGCCACCACTGCCCAGCTGATGACTTTAATCCCAGCACTTGGGAGTCAGAGGCCTGAACTCCATGAGTTCAGGGCCAGCCTGGTCTACACCTGAGTTTATGCCAGCCAGGGCTACAAAGTGAGACCCTGTCTTTAAAAAAAAAAAAAAAAGATGGGACCCCAGGACTCCTCAGAAACTCTGTGTTCTGAGGAACAGCCGCTAACAGTACTACGAGTAGTACCAGTGCACTGAACTGATTAGATACTCACGGCCCAGGAGAGCAGAAGGACTGACTTGTCTAGATCTCAGAATC